TGCCATGATAGATGTGACCAGTCATGGGATACTCTGCAAAATAAACTGGTGAAGTGAAAACAAAAGTAGTATACAACAGAGACGGGGGTTGAGCTTTAAAAAACACTACTCTTCAGGGAGACTTTTCAATCCAACCCTGTCTGAGCGCCTCCCATCTGGTCCTCTTTATTGTGAAAATTTGTTGGTGCCATTGGCTTTTATGGGTTTGATTAGTCATAGTTGTTTCTGTTACATTTTAGTGTCCATAGTTTGTTTGTCCTGGTTTGTAATTGTCTGTAACCCGCCCAGAATAGTGCCTTGGGACTAATGGGTGGTATATAAATTAAATATAAATAAGTATAAATGAAACCATGAAAAAAAGGAATCTTCCAAAGATCGTCTCCACTGCATTTAGTTCTGCAATTTTTGCTGAGAACAGCAAGTACAGTATTTCAAGATTCTGTTTAGACTATAAATTGAACTGGGCAGAACTGGAATATTTAGTAGTCTCACTAACAGCAAACACCTAGTAAAAGACAACCAACACAATTGCAACTAGCTTTGCCTGTTTCTCATCCCCAAAGCAGGCAAAAGTATCATAGTTTATTCCCCATATCTGAATCCTTCTCTCTGCTCCTGGTCCTGCTTTGACTGCAACACCAAACAAAAGGTCTTACAAACAAAAGACTGTGGGTTTCTTTATTGAGTCAATCCATCTCATGTGCAGTCTTCCTCTTTTCCTACTGCACTGCATTTTTTCCTGCATTGCTGCCTTTTCCAGTGTGATTGTCTTCTCATGATGCCACTGAAGTACAATACCCTTCGCTTGGTTATTTTAGCTTCTAGTGAGAGTCCACAGTAAATTTGCTTTGCCTTCTGACAAGTCATGATATCTATAAATCTCTTTTCCAACACTACATTTCAAATAAGTGAAATGTGTGTATGCACTTTATGTAGTGTATAAAATGTAGGTATACACTTTAAAAATTGCACTCCTATATATAGCTGCTTTTTGAGGGTAGCTTACTTTGGAGGAAACAAGTTCAGGATTTCAATGTACTTAATAAGCTTTATAAATAGGGTGCATTTAATTCAATGTAGCATTCTGCACCTGACTTTTTTCTGAAAGAGATGTCAGTTGAAGGAATCAATAAAGAACCAGACAGACAAAATGTTTAAATGACGTGAGTTGTTTTTTTCTAAACTAAAACCTCAGTATTCAGGTTTAATTGCAGTGTTGGCACTTTGAAATAAATAATTTGGTTTTGTGTTGCTGTTTGGGCACTTGAGCTCAAAAAGGTTCGCCAACACTGCCCTAAAGAAAACCTGCAAGCTTGAGTTTAAAGGAGCTGAGCAAGGCAGCTGAGGATAGGACATGGAGATTGCTCATTCATAGGGTTGTCACAAGTTGGAGACAACTTGACAGCACATAATAACAACAACAGGCCCAGTGAATGAGCAGAGATGTGGTGAGTTGATTCAAATGGGTCTACTCTAGTTGCAACTTTACCGCAAAAAGCTGCAACTAGAGTAGGCCCATTTGAATCAACAGAGCTTAAAGAGCTGATTCACCAAATTCCCACTAATTGAACGGGCCTACTCTAGTGTTAGGGATGTGGTGGTGCTGTGGGTTAAACCGCAGAAGCCTCTGTGCTGCAAGGTCAGAAGACCAGCAGTCGTAAGATTGAATCCATGCAACGTCGCTTGTCCCAGCTCCTGCCAAACTAACGGTTCGAAAGCATGTAAATGCAAGTAGAGAAATAGGTACTACCACAGTAGGAAGGTAATGGTGTTCCGTGTCTAGTCACGCTGGCCACGTGACCACGGAAACTGTCTATGGACAAACACTGGCTCTATGGCTTGGAGACGGGGATGAGTACTGCACCCTAGAGTCGGACATGACTGGACTAAATGTCAAGGGGAACCTTTACCTAACCTCACTCTAGTGCAGTGATGGTGAACCTTCTTGAGCCTGAGTGCCCAAACTGCAACACAAAATCAACTTATTTCAAAGTGCCAATACTGCAATTAAAACCCGAATGCTGAGATTTTAGCTTAGAAAAAAAACTGCTCCTGCACTGCAAGGGTTAATCGCTTGTGTTTCTCCCCCTCCCCAATAGGCGGTATTAACAAATAAATACGTCCCGGTCCTCCAATCCCCCATTGGGCTAGACCGGTAATGGTCGCCATTGCACCCTTCCGCCGGACCACTGCACCAGCAGAGGGGACTGCTGAAATCTGGGATCGGAGAATGGGTAAGTATTTCTCTATGGCAACTTATGGCTCGTGTGCCCACAGAGGGCTCTTGTGTGCCAGCTGTGGCATGCGTGCCATAGATTCGCCATCACTGCTCTAGTGTTACTACAATAAACAACAGGATTTCAGCCATTGTCTGTAGTAACTGATGTAGCATGTTCCTGAGAGATGCAGGATTCTTTATTTCTCTGTGCTATAACCAATTCAAAATCCACCTAAGCAGTGTTACATATGACTTCCTCACAATAAGCATCTGCATTTATCAGCTAGCTTGCATAGTAGTTTGAATATGTGCTGCTGAACAGATGCAAGTAACCCTTTACTTACGAATGTTCCATTTAACTTAAGACATGCGTGAAGACAGGCTGAGAGAAGTGACAATTATCTAGAGGCTTGAGCACAAGGGAAAGGTCTCAGTAGTTTCCTTATTTCTGACATTCAGTGTGTATTTGCGCCAATTAATTATCTTATAAAATCAAATAAGTTTTATTTTAAAACCTTTCTACAGACCTGTGTGGGTTCGCCTATGTCTTTGCAATTCATCACTTCTTGTAAATCTTTTCCCACAGAAGATCCAGTTGCATACAAATGGCCTTTCCCCAGTATGCCAGCGAAGATGTGCCCGGAGATGAGATGTTTTCCCATAGACTTTTCCACAACCTTCAATATGGCAGATATGTTGTTTCTTCTTTCCAGGTTCATTACTGCTTCTATCAAGTACAAACCAATGATAAACTTAGCAATATTTAAGACACAAACTCAGTATTAAGAATAGTTACATTAAGCAACAAGGTATGCAAGAGCAAAAGGGTTATTTTCTATCCCCAAATGTCTTGTATTTTACAGCTATTATGACAATTACCTTCCTTCTCCTTCTCTGCAATTAGGGCATGAGCAAGCAACTCTCCTTAACCTTTTGCCAGGCTGAACATCTGGATCAGAAGCTTGCTGGGCTTGCTGCAAATGCACCTGAGTTATCTGATCAGGACTAACAGCACCAATTGCTGTGTTAGCAATACCTCCTACTGCTACAGTTACAGGTGCTATTGTGGCTTGTTGTACTTTCACGCCTCCTTCCTGTCCTTGTTGCTGACCTGTAAAATAAAGAAAAACCTTAACTACTATATGTTATCATAATAAAACCAAAATATAAGCCAGGAATCCTACTGTATATTTTGGCTGGCATAACATTGCTGCAAGTTAAGATGTCAGTGTAGGCATTTCTGACTGCTCACCAAGGCATGTGACTAGCAATGTCTGTGCTGATTTCTTAACCTGCATTAGTATGCCCCAGAAAGTTACACTGATGCTGTTATGCTGGCAGTCATAAATAACAGCACTTTGGCCATAATTTTATATTATTTACTACATTAAATAAGGGATTTCTTTCATATGTACAGTATATTTGGAAGAGCCGTTTCCTTCAACAACCTTATTAAGCCTAAAATCCTTTTACATTAAAAAGGAACTGAACCATCAAAAAATATACTGCACTAACTGCAATTAGTAACAGAGAAAAATGTGCATTTACAACATTGGTGAATGTCTTATCTGAGGTGGCTTATTCTCTTGGCTGCACTTGTTCCCACATTATATAGTAAAACCACTGTGGGAAGAACTTGCTGCCAAAAGTAACATGATTGGATAGGGAAAAACAAATAAAAATATGGACATAAAACTCATATTTTCTGGCATCTGTTCTTCAGCTGGCCTGTATGAATTTTAACAATGTGGCAAGTCACTTTAAATATTGCAAATAAGGCATGATACACATTTTTAGTAATACAATGATTTAATAATAATATGGGATTACTCATTTGCAAGGCCAGACATCAGAACTTTCTGGAAAATCCAAGATCTCTTGGAGTGCTCCAATCCTCTCCCTTCAGGAAAGGTATTTTATGCTTCTGAGCACACTCTGAAAGGAGGGACAAATGACTTCCACTCAGTTTTCCATATGCCACCATGACGATTTAGGTAACAAGTCAGCATCTCCTGCAATAGGGACAGGAAAGCAGGATGTGTGATTATACAGATGAACCAGCTTTGAAGAGGCCACTTTTGCAGGCAAGTGAATGGAAAATTTGCTGTTCTTCTCAGTGTCTCTTTTGTATCATATATTTGCCTTTAGTAATGAATAATAAGAAAATAAAGGGAATGCTTTTCTAAGTAGAACGTAAGATTCACGTCACAACAATTTCTGGAAGCATAAATATTTTTACAGAGCAAATCCCTTGACCAGTTTATGAAAGTCTAACCATTCAGTTGCATAGCTGATTACAGTGGGGTCTTGACTTGAGAACTTAATCCGTATTGGAAGGCGGTTCTCAAGTCAAAAAGTTTGCAGGTCAAATCTGCATTTCCCATAGGAATGCATTGAAAACCATTTGATCCGTATCTGCTCTTTTCCGTCCATAGAAACTAATGGGAAGCTGCTATTCCACCTTCGACCACTGGAGAGGGATATTTTGTTTCTTTTTTTCTTAGGTCAAGAAAGGTTCAGGGAAGGCAGGGAAAATACAGTCCAGGCAGTACCAGGCAGTCTGAAGACTCCCAATCCAATCTCTAAACGCTGGGAGGAGTGAGGAAGCAGACAGGCCCCCTTTTCACTGGCCAACAGTTAACTGAAAGTTCAAATTTTGCACTTTCCCTGCCTCCCACGTGGCTTTTTTTTTCAGTTCTTAACTCAAATCTAAGTATGTAAGTCAAGTCAATATTTTCCTATGAGAGTGGTTCTTAAGTCAAAATGTTCTTAACTCGAGCCGTTCTTAAGTCAAGACCCCACTGTATATTAATTAAAACCCCAATGGCAAGGCACAGTTATTCAAATGTATGGAGAGGTTTATTGTTTGGGGAATCCATCCAAGTAACTGGTGCTCGGGTTCCTCAGTGTCTGTATGCAGGCTAAACCTAAAGAGTTATTTAGAGTTAGCATACTCTTTCTCTGATAGCACTGTAGCTTTGTAGGTTATGTATTTCTGCCATTAACTAGTGATCTGACTAGATATTCTATCTTTCTTGTTACTATTTTAGCTCCCCTTTTTAGAGTATCTGATATTGCTATTTTAATTGTACTGCATTTTTACATTATTGTATCTTCGATCTTGTGAGTCATCCTGGATATTTAATATTCATTTGTGCAAGCTGGGTTCCAAATTTTCAAGTGCCTCCCTAGCTCCCTACATCCCATCCTAGTCCTTTCCCATCATTTGCTGACCCTCAAGAGAGATTTGTGTTGGGGTATGGAGATCGAGTGGAGAAACTGCTAAAGACTGGACAAAACTCTGTTGCATAAATATTTATTATTTATTTATTTATTTATTGGACTTATATACCGCCCCATAGCGCTACAAGCACTCTCCGGGCGGTTTACAATTTTTTAATTATACAGGCTACACATTAGGCTACACATTAGGCAAAATAGACTTTTGCCTGCACTAAAAATGAATAAGAACTTAAATAAATGGTTACAATTTCTTATTCAAATCTCCAAGGAAGTGAAACTACAATTCCAAGTTTCTCTAATTTGTGACATCAATTGTCTCTATGAAGAGAATGTCATCTCTGTGTCATTCAAATAACTTAAGACCAGAACATGCTTCTCTTTTTTCATTTGTCCATTTCTCAATTTGGTGAGTATGTTTTTTTTAAACATACTGTAAACCAGTTTCCTTACTTTCCCCCCCTGCAGTGAGATGAAGGAACTGTATGTGTCTACAGTATAGAGAAGTTCCAACAGCCTAATACTATAGATATTCTTATGGTTACTGGCAAGGATTTTGAAGGATAAAACAATATTTAAAAGTTGCTTATAAAAGTACTGCACATCACTGGAAGAGATGAAATTACTTAGGACAACAGATCTTGGAGAGGAAAAATAAACCCTCCCCCTCTATTGGCCTTTGCATCTTCATATTTGTGATAAGAGTCATCACATTCTTTGTTCATAGGTTGATGTGTAACAAATTGCAAATTATCCTTCCCTTAGATGTGCAGTACCTCCATGTATGTTAGACATGTTCTTGATGATTCTTAGTTACATTAACCCTTATAGGCAAAGTTACCATCTACAGTACAAATTCATTTTAAAAGAAAACAGCAATTATCTGAGCTTCAAGAATTTTATAGGCCTATACCCAACAGTACAGTATCACTGTGCCATTGCAGGCTGCCCCAGCAGATATACATTTGTACAACTAGAATTATCACAGGGGATGCATGCCATTTCTGTTATATTGTATCCTTATAGTATCATTTTTTTCCATCTACATAACTGTTTAATCCAGCACAACTAACTAAGAAGAAACTTTCATTCTGCTGCTGTAACACTTAATTTTGGTCACAGTGGATTTTTTAGATCCTCTAACTTTTTCAAGCACATGAGTCTTTGGTGGTATTTAAATTCCATCACCATATGTTCTCATCAGTCAGAAAACAACGCACAGTGGACAGACATCTTTGCTCAAGTTATGGCTAATTTAATATACATGTTTCTTCAAATTTTCTTCCTTTTCCAATCAATAAGAAAGGCTAATGACAACTTCATTTCTCTATTGCGTATTTCTCCTGATATTCAGTTCTTGCTATCTGGTATTCTGACAGGATTTTTAATTTTTTAAAAAATCCATAAGAACAAGGTGGGAGAATATGAGCCTTCCACTGTATAACCTTCCAAACCGAACATAACCCAGATGCTTATCAACATTCTAGCTTTTGTAGACTCTAGTTGGCAACATAAACAGGACGTTTATCAGCACTACAGTTGAGTTGTTATAGTTTAGCAATTTAAAAGTCAATCCAGCAGAGAACGATTTTTCAGGATATTAAAACACAACATATCTAAAATGGAGAGCATTGTCTGAAACTATCCTGAATAGCAGCCCTCTCCCTTTAAAGAAATGCATGGCATAAATCTAATAATAAGGGCTTGCTTAACCTTTTACCATTAAAAGAGAGATTCAATTTTTCTTTCTCTGAAAGAGTATGTCTCAGTTTTTGTCATTGTTACTACTGTTATTTGAAGAAGGGATGAGATGTCACTCTGCTTTGTTTTTTAAAAAATCAATTTTAGTAAGATTGAGAAGCATTTTCCCTTGAAGACAAGACAGGAGAGGTAAGGCATCAAAAATATATGAAACAGTCCTTGGTTTAAAATGGATCACCTAGAGATTACTTTACTTTCAAGTGAGTATTTATGATCCTTTAAGCCATGGCATGTTCAAAGAAATATGTCTTGAGCACAAAGCTTACTATGGGATTAAAGGAAAGATACATGGTTTGTTGGTAGAGATCAATTTAGGAAGCTGGAACAAGTTTTACAATTGCAAACTAGGCTGGAATCAGATGGCTTCAATTTGGACTGAATAGAAAACTGGCAGCTAAAACATTTATGGGATGATACAGACTTTCATATAACAGAACTTTTCTAGACAATAGTGTATCTAGTCCTTGGCTGGAATTAATTACCAGTTCAGTGGAACTGAGCAATAATGGTACCTGAAGCTGTGAATTGTTTATTTTTACAAAACAAGCCACATAACTGGACTGTAATTTCTGTGATGAGCAAGACACAGAGCTGACAAAGCTAATGAGGAAATTGGACATCAGCTTGAATATACAGTATTCTCTGTTCAAAAATCATGCATAACTTGCTTTTCATGATTAGGACTGTATCATTCAGCTACATCCCCCATTTCCCAGGAGAAGCCCCACTGAACTTGATGGTACTTACTTCTGAGAAGATATGTACCGTATTGGATTGGATTGTAAGAGCAATTCCTCTCACCTCCACTCCCATCATATGAATAAACCAGTTACTTACCTGTAACCATAGTTCTTCGAGTGGTCCTCTGTGAATTCACACATATGGGTATTGTCTGCGCCTGCGCTGACTCTCTCGGAAGGTTCTAGAGCTAAAAGTAACAATTTTATGGTGTGATCCCCCACGAGGTATATGCTCCTCCCACCCATCATCTTCCCCAGTTCCAGAATTTTATAAAGGAAAGAATTAAATATGTGATTCACCCGTGATGGATTGAGGGGAGGATGGGTGGGTTGTGTGAATTCACAGAGGACCACTCGAAGGAAAGAGTCA